AATGTTGTTTTCACACAGCTGTCTTTTCTACTCCCCTTTCCCTCGCAGAACGTGGGAGTTCACAACCTAAAAGCAAACATGAGGAAACCAGGAAATCTCAGTGGTGATCTCCACACATACCACCCTAAGAGCAGTGGACTTGCAACAAAACAATGAACCACAAACTCAGGAAAAACACAGTTCAGTTAGCACCCCCCTGGAACAAGACCACACCGTGAACACCTACTCTCTGAAAAGTTTGTCCTTACAAGACACTTTGGAGAAATTACGCTTCCTTCTTATACTGCTCTGAAAAAGAAGCAAGGTTGGCAAAGCAGAGAAAAGCCACCTTTTCCTACAGCAGAGTCCACGGGGTAGGGCACAGCTTCTTCCAAGACAGGACTCCCATTCCCTGTCCCCTTTATGCCATTCATTTGATATAAAAGGCCAAGAACTCATTGCAATTCCCCTGGCCCAAGGACACTCCTTGCAGGCACTAACTTGCTAAAGGCAGATGATGAGCCAGATGCCACTCAAATTAGGCCAAAAACGTTCTGAACAGGGTCCCACTACAGGTAATTTTGACCGGCAAAACCCAGTATGGTACACAACTGAGATTAGAGTCAGCCTCCTGGATCCAGGGAACTGGCTCTGCAATGGAGCTGCACAAAACAACCAGCCAGCCAGATCTCCACCTACAACTCAGGCTAGTCAGGTCCTGCCTCCTCTGCGAGACTGCTAAAGGCTGCCAGCTTGTGGTGTGTCGGCGATATGGGAATTGTCCACGAGCTCCGTACAAACCCCCAAACTACTGCTCAGGGGCTGCTCATGGAGCACGACCAACTTTTGCCATGGCCTCCTGCTCAAGTTTCGACTCATCAGTCCGTAGCGTCTGGATACTTTTTTCCCCTGACTCCTGATACTGCATCCCTGTGACAGGTTCAGAAATTCCACAGCACAGAGCCATGGTTTTCAAATTCTCTCAATCTGCAGACCCCATTTCCTCCACACAGGAACTTGCAGCTTACTGCCACTGACTTTTTTTTGATCGCATGGCCCTTAGAAGCAGTCCACAAACCATCAGACAGAAAACTACTACCAGTACTGCTGACCTGTCGGCTGGGTCTAACTCTAAAAACCAGGAAAAACTTCTGCATCTTTTCTACCCTTAGTTACTCTTATAGTCCTCCAAAACAATTAAGCACAGCAGCATTCAGGTCTTTCTTCTTTCAAATGTTATTTCCCAAATACTTAACATAATTTTTTAGGCTGCTAAATCCTCTAGATCATGTTATCACCACAGCTGGCAAAACAGATTGCATGTTCTCTCCCTCGGGAAAGGTTACAGCTGTGAACAGAAACTCTATTAGAGCCAAAAAGTGCTTTTCTGCTGTGCAGTCTGGGGATCAGGTACTCCTAACAATGCAAAAAATCAAGGTACTACAGCTGCTGCTGTGCAGATAGCTGCCTCACATGCTATAGCTCTCAGATTTGCAGCACACCATTTAAGTTCTGTCTCTGTGCTGTCTTTCAGACCTGCGCGATTGCCCAGCTTTAGGTCTTACACAGATCTTTTCTCATCCATTTGCATTCCCAAAAGTTTTCT